TTTAATTTAATTTAATTTTTTTATTTTCAAGAGTCAGACACTTAACTGACAGAGGCACCCAGGTGCCCCAGTGGTTTCGTGTTCTTATTATCAGACTCGTTCACGGTTGGAACATTTTGGAAAAAAAAATCATACATTTAATATGTATTCTTGCTAATTCTGACTCCCTGACTTTCTCACCACGTTAGTTGTAAGAGCAGGTCTCTACCAGGCCCTTTAGCCGTTTCTAACTCCCTCCATATGATTTTTTTTTGGGGGGGGAGTCCAAGTAAATTAATCATAAGGAAAGATTAAACACTCCCAAATATCATAGACTGGATGAGTCTGTATCAAAGTGTGTTATCTCGAACTCACCGTGCGTCCGAGAGGGACCATTCTCTCTTCGTAAATATTTCATGGAGGGAGAGGACCCCGGAGACCCCAGATTTTCATTCCTGATGGTTTGGGGTTGGGAATGGACACATACTAGGCACTCCCCTCCCCATCCACCCAGGAGTGTCTGCACGAGACACGGAGGGTTGGGGGGGCTTGTTCTCAGAGAAGCTGGTCAGTACAGAACACATGCAGCCAGGTTCAAGTGCAGAACACCACACTGTTTTCTCAGTGCCCCAGCAACTCTCGGCGGTCCCCACAGGACCGGGTGCCGGCCAGCCTTCTCTGCCACCGGCTGGGGTGGAAGAAAGAGGGGAAGGCTACCCTTGAAGAAGTTAGGATTGACTGGCAGGTGTGGGCTGACCAGCTTCTAAGCCGTCCTTCCTGACCCCGTAGCCTCTGACCCAGGACAACAGTCCTACCGTGCTGCTCCGAGATAAGCACGCCATTCGGAAGACTCTCGCTGCCCTGAGCTTGGACCACAAGCCGGAGACCATCCAGGTCGTCACCCGGGACATGGTCCGGAAACTCATGTGAGTGCCCAGGGCGCGGTGCCCGGCCTTCCTGTCCCAGCTTGCCCTTCTGCCGAAGACTCGTGCGGGGAGAGGGGGCTCCCTGGGTTCATGAAGTTGGTCCGGCCCCCCTTTCTTTCCTACTCGTCTCCCCTGTTTGCCTCCTAGCTCTCCTTCCTCGGCATTTCGGTCTCTCTTTTTCTCTTCTTTTTGTATCTCTTCTTGCCTTTACCCTTGACCCCCAGCATCTTCCTTTTCCCTTTCCTCTGGCTGCTGACGGACCTATTGGCAGAGGGGCCGTGCTCGGTGGGTCCCGGCCGAGCCCCCCTACTGCTCTGGCTGCACCAAGAATCTGAAGTAAGGGGGAACTGCCCAGATGCTGCTCAGGCCCCTGGCTTCTTCCCGGGCTCTGAGGCCAGAAGAGGAAATTCCCAAGGGGAATTCCCAAGTTCCTCTGGGATCGGCCCCGCACGCCCGCCCGGCTTCCTGCCTGGAGCCGCCTCCTTGGCGGGCGCCCTGGGGTTAGGCCTCCCTTTCGGCAGTGTGAACCGAGCTTTCGCTCAGGGGCCTGGCTGCACCCTCGGGACCGTTCTCCCAACTCTGGCCGCACCTCGGAGAACTGGAGCTCCCGGCTGCGTCGCCCGCGTCGGGAGCTGGGGAAGCCCGGCTGCGACACGGCTCTGCGAGCACGGTGGGCTCAGCCCCTGGCGTCAGATGGCCCTTTATGGTCAGCAGAGCTGCAGCTGCTGGTGGGGCCCAAGGCAGCGTTCCTCCCTGGAGGGGTCTAGTCCTGCCGGCCGGGATGCCCTCTCAGATGCGACCATTTCTGGTCCTTCAGGTCCCAGGCCACGTCCCGGATCCATCACTCATTTGGGCCTCCTCCCGGACCCTCCCCAACACACACGGGCACGCGCGCATGCACACACACACACCCGCACACACACGCACGCGCACCTGCCACATGCACACACGTGCACACACATGCACATACATACACACAATGCTTGCACACATATACACCATTCGGGCCTCCTCCTGGGCCCTCCCCAACACACACGTGCACAAACACACCCACACCTGCAACACACACGCACCTGCCACATGCACACATGTGCACACACGTGCACACAGGCCTGCACGCACACACAATGCGTGCACACATATACACACGCACACACTTGTGTACACATGGTCACATATACCTACACAATGCACACGTGCGTGTGCACACACCCACACACATATGCTCACACATGCACACACACGCACATATTCACACACGTGAACACTCACATATACTCACACCCATACTCTCACATATGCATGCACACACATGCATGCACAGTACACACTTGAGCACGCTCACATACATGCACACTTGCACACATACACTCACACTTGCTCACACATGTGTACACGTATAGTCACGTGCTCACACATGCACATACACGCAGGCAGACTCACACACTTGCATACGCAGACACGCACATACACACGCACACGCACACACACACGTGCACACACATACACACGCACGCACACACTTATACTCACACGCGTGCTCACACACTCACACACATACACACGCACGCGTGTGCACACAAGTTTTATGGGATGAGGTTCACTTCCTGCCTCAGGCCGGCTGCGTCTCGCTGCCGTGTCCCTGTTAAATGGCCTCACCCAGAAGCAGCTTTAGTCCTGGCCCCTGCTGCTCCCGCCTGCATCCTCTATGTATGTCATTTGTTTGTAATCATTATAATTAACTATTGGTTTGTTGAATGTGCTGGGCGGCTAGGAGGAGAGGGCCACAGACATGCCTCCAACTGTTGTTGATCAGAGATTTTAATTAATATTTAGGGTTCAAAGCTTCTCTCTGGGCCGGATGGACAGGGATGCCTAGGTTTCTCACAGCATCCGTTTCGACCTTGTCCAGCGTCCCCTCGCCCTTTTTAAGTCGTCCTCAAGGAATAAGCTATTTTTGGAGTTCAGGTCGCCGGCGTCGTTTTGAGCTCTGCCTCTGGGCCCAGCTCTGTGCCGCGGCCTGGGCCGCCAGGCGTGCGGTCAGCAGAGTCTGAGTCCTGGAGGAGCGTGTGGCCCAGCACACAGGCTGCACCCGTGGGGCCACGGCACAGGCAGCGGGAGCCGCACGCGTGGGCTCCCAGGAGGTCAGCTCCCAGCCCGGTGTGGGGATGCGCGTCTGTGCACACGGCGCAGGGGCTCGTGGCTGCACACACAGGGCAACGTACGCACCAGACCTCTTAGCAAAAGTCCTTAAAACGTCTCTGTTTGGCCCGTCCCTTGCCTGGGACCCCTTCTCCCCAGGGGGCCCATGGGGGGGGCGGCACTGGGGGACGCTGGCAGTGGTGAGGGAGGAGGGGAGGGCGGAGCGGTGCTGAGAGCTTCCCCCTCCTCCCCACTGACTGCTCATCCCCTGCGTCAGTGTTCCCGCCAAGGATCCCTCGGGGGAGTCCCTCATCATGAGCCCTGAGGACTTTGAGCGCATCAGGTGGGCGTCCCACGTCCTGAGCAGAGAAGAGCTGGAGGCCAGGGAGCAGGCCTTCCAGAAGGAGAAGGAGGCCATCATGGTAGCTGCCCTCCCCGAGCCCCGATCTCTGCCGATGGGAGCGGGGAGCTCTGGTCAGGGGGCCTTGGCAGGAGGCGCCCACGTGTGCTTCCTGGAGACCCTAGAGCGCACGCCAGGTGTGGACGCTGCTGGGGGCGGGGGCGGGGCGAGCAGGAAGCCAGGCGGAGAAACTTCTGGGTTCCGAGGGCATGACAGGGTGAAGCCATCCCGGGGGTCACACTGGGTCACCCGTGGTAGCGGGGCCAGCGCCCAGGGCAATCCCCCCACTGATCCAGACCGTGTCCCATAGGACGCAGTGGCCACACGTAAGAAGATCATGAAGCACAAGGAGATGGTGTGGAGAACCAACAGGAAGCTCAGCGACCTGGAGGAGGCAGCCAAGGAGAGGGCCCAGGACCTGCTGCAGAGAGCCAGCCAGCTGCAGGCCGAGCAGGAGGAGGAGCTCAGGGGCATGAGCAAGGTGGGGGCCTCGCTCCTCCCGCACCCCCAGGACGCACTGCCACCCCCTCCCTCCTCTTACCGGACAGGCTCCGCCCCAGCTGGACGTGGGGAAAGCAGGGGTGACCGGTGAGGGGCTGATGGAGGGGGCGTGTTGCTGCAGTCGGAGGGAGGACCGGCCTTGCCACAGGCTAGCTGTGTGACCCCCAGCAAGTCACATACCCACCCTGGGACTCACTTCCTTCATCTGTTTGTGTTT